AAAGCAGATAGAGTGACTCAGGCTGTTGGCACGCTTGCTATTGGGTTTGTTGTTGTTCTGTTTAAATACACTGGACCAGTGTGAGCTTCACTGGAGAGATTAACAGGTATCTTCCATGTTCACGAGAACACAAAATGATTCTATTTTATTTATAGTCTGACAAGATAAAGGCTTTTTTTAGTAATCACTGATCAGACTTCACTTCACTTAACCACCTTAGAAGAAACGGCTGAGCCAACTTTGTTAGAATTTTATCCCCAGTCCACAGAGTGGATTCACGGAGCGGATTGCTGGGTGTTCCACTCGAGATGTGGAAGCACTCTCCTCCATCTTGTGATGGGACTAGTCAGTTCCTGTGCAATTAAGAAATGAGTCTACAACTGTTTGTGTGCACTGTGTTTGTGCAAGAAGATTAACTAATGCCTGTATTACAAGTTGGGCTGGTAGCCAGTGTTTCACTGCAGGGGTGCCAGGCATATGTACCCATGACAATTCACCTGGCCTGTTGCCTGTGCTTATCCAAGAAGCCCTCAAGAGGATGAATGAAATCCTATTGCACACGCGTTGCTCTTGCGGCAGCAGCGTACTCCAAGCCTCCTTCTTTCGTAGGCTCTCTCCAAAGCCATTAAGAGCTGGAAGCAGATGTAAGCACTGCAGAGCATGCATGCAATAAGACTGACTGGTGTTTCCAAGGAATGCTGTGCCTCTTGCAGGCGTATGCTATAGTCAACCCGTGCTTTAGGGAGTTTGTCAGCAATACTAAATTGCCCCGAGGTAGTAAAGATAGGGCTTATGGCAGGGGTTGCTGAAGGACCTCCTGATACGGAGCAACTGAGTGGTAAAGGCAAAATTCAGAGTAGGTAAATGTAAAGCAACACATGTGGCAAAACAAAGGGGGAAAAAAAAACCCAAACAATCCTGACTTTCCATAGACAATGACATTCTCTGAGCTGATAACCTTATCACTCAGAAACAAGATCTCGGGCTTATCTGAGGGTAACCCATTAAAACATCTGCCCAAGGCTCAGGAAGCAGTCAAGGAAGTAAAAGCAACAATAGGATTTATCAGGAAAGCAACAGAAAACTAAGCATCATTATGTCATCGTATAAATGCATGCCTCATTTGCATCTCAAATATTATGTGTCACTCTTGTCCCTCCAACTGAAAAGGGATATAGTAGGAATATGTACAAATAAAGGCAACAAGGATGATCAAGAATATTCGTCAGTTCCATAGATGCAGCAGTTAAAAACAGAAAAGAGGCTGGTACGTGCAAGTGGCTGAAACGAGGAGAGACAATATAACAAACCCTATGGATGAGGAATTGCAGGACAATCCATTTTCACTTTCTTTTCTGGTAGGACAACCGGGAGACTTGCATGAAGCCAGCAGGTAATGGTTTCAAACAAACCAAAGGAGGTATATCTTTACAGCCCGTGAACCTGTCATTAACCTCTGCAACTCTTTTCCATTGGACATTTATGGATGCTGAAAATTCACAGCACTTCAAAAAGTAACTAGATCCTTCCTCCTTCAATGAAAATTCATTCAAGGCTATTAAACACCAGGCATGTGCTAGCAATAGTTTATACGGAATGACATCAGTAGCTTATTTTGCTCTCACAGCTTCCTTTGGGCATCGGCTTTTTGGCTAGCGGCAAAGCCAGGCTGCTGGGTGGGCGGACCTTTGGCGTGACGACTCTTATCGAGGGCTGCAGCAAGGGCCGGGAGGGAGAGGTGCACTCAGATAGCCGTACACACGCTCACCCTGCAGCCGTGCAGCAGGAGGAGGTTGTTCCACAGGAAAGCATTGCACCAGCTGCTCGAGGGCGAGCTTAGTCTCCCACCCAGGCTGCTTCAGCCCGGAGTGGGTTCGACCCCTGGGGAGCAAACGGGCCGAGGACGGGCAGGAATCACCGCCGCAGCCGGCGGGGGAATCCCGCCAGGGCCCGGCTAAAGGCGGCAGGGGCGGCGGGGGACGCGCAC